GCTTTTCAGGCTTTAGCTCAAAAAGTGACCAATGAGGTAAGACACCAATACTATGTGCTAACAAACAAACCTAAATGTCGGCTAGCATAATAATGTAAAATGTATATATTCTTGGAACTATATATGATTTAAGAGACTTTCATTTCTTTCTTTAACCTTTATTAAACACTTGTAAACACTTCACAATAATGTTCTCTTTCAGATAAACAGACTGGTTAAAAATGTCTTTGCATCATTCCTACGCTCCAGGGTTAACAGCTTTAAGTAAGGCAAAATTTCTGTCCATGACTTATGTTTTTCTTAGATATCTGTCCTTCAACTGCTTTTAAGAAGTATTGCTTCTGTCTTTGTCATTCTAGGAATGGATCAGTAGTTGTCAACATGACTCTTGTGTTCCAAGATAAAAACTCGGTTCCATCACTAACTAATGCAACTACAGCGCTGACACAAGCAATCCAAAATACCACACTGGGCATCATAGAAGGCAGTATAAGTAAGTTTCTGGCCACATGTTCTGCAGTTTGAATTTATTAATGTAAACTACCCTATATAATGTTGTATTATTGTGCTGTCAGTGTTACACATAAAAGCAAGATGAGAACTCAAGTTTATAAGTCCAGAGAATTTTATGGAGGTACTTTTTTTTTTCAATATTCCAGGAGTGTCATCATCAACCAGTCTTCAGTCTACAATTGGCATATGGGCGCTAACACTGTTGACTGTGGCACAAATCATGATCAACATGTAGGCACCACTCAAGTTCACTCCAGTGACTTCACCAAAAGTTTTTACTGTGCTATAAAACCGGGTGTGCCGACCAAAGGAAAAACAAAAGATATAAGAAGCTAGCATTATGAAATTTACCAAGATGAAGTAATTTGGTGCTCAGATGTGTGCTGAGTGTAAAAGATTAATATATATATCTTATAGTATTTTCCAGACACAAATTTATGGTGCAAAATATCTAATACTTTTTGGCAACGTATTGGCAGTTACTTGTGAGTAACACATTAGCTTGTTAGTGCACTTGTTTTCGTTGCTATTGTGGCATTAAAAAAAACTATAAAAACATACATATTAATTTACAATGTGCATTGCAAGATGCGAATTAATATCCAAACATATTATTGAGTTAAATGGTGAAAGAGAAGATGTGCATATTTAATGATGTGAGTTGAACTGAAATGATCTTGATGCAGCAGACAAGTGATTGATTCTGTCATAATCATACAGTATCAGGTGAATAGTTTGGAAGGTGGATTTTAAATGAGAAACAGCATACTAGTCTAGCAAAATATTTACATACTACTGTCTTAATAAAAAATAAGTTGTTTTTCTTCTTTTCATTGATTAATTAGTGCATTGATTAAAAGATCTGTATGCCTCTATAATGAAATTAATAAAACCATTATTTATTCAACCAAGTACTAGAATCTTAGGCTTAATATGCTTCTTGTGATTTGTAAATGCCATCTCTTTTACTCTGCATTTTTTCACTGCATTTTTTCCTTTTAATATCAGAAGAAGGAAAAACTACTGCAAATAATAATTATTAGTGGTGTGGTGAATGTGATTTGTAGATTTGTGAACTTTATATTTATCAAAATAAAGATTATGACAATTACCAGGTTTGTGTACTACAAAACAATTAATGTGTTAAGGAGCTATTTTGAGATTAAAGTCAGAGTGTTCTGTGTCAAGCAAGAGCCTAAATCACCATGTGAACTTTAAACACGTGAACATTGATATAGCACAAGGTTCAGTTGGCTCTGCATAAAAATAGGTGGTCGAAATTGTCTTCAAGAAGCTACTTTTATGTAGTAATGTTGTCACTGTAGTGGAAGTAGTGTGAAGTATATTTCACAACCTGTACTTTTTTACTTTTACTTGAGTAAAGGAGTTGAATCAGTACTTCAACTTTTATTGCAGCATTCTTTAACACTGGTATCTGTACTTCTACTAAAGTACAGACTGTGACACCTCAATGAACAGGTATGAAATCTTTAACTGGGGCTTAGGTTTTGTCAAGCCAACTAACACAAACAAAGGGTTGCTGTATTGAACTTCTTTATCAAAGATGTGTCATCTTATTACTAGACCTATTATTTTCAGAGCCGATATCCAAGGATAGTAGATTATAGATCAAACTGGGATTGTTAAGACTGGCTGTTAGCCATAGTCATGAATGTATCCCTAGCTACTACCAGAATCCATGAAAAAACAACAGGAGCTACCAAGAAACAAGTACAAATGTGTTTCCCTTGCAAACTACTGTTTACAAACTACTCTACTACAGGTAGAGGACCACAGGCTTTGATGTACTTTCAAATGAAGGAGCAAAGTAGCAGACAACAATCCATTTACACAATATTGTTTTTTAATTCTCTGTGTATCACACCTGCAGCTCAACCTCAATGGATATACCTGCTCTCACTCTACTGTAATGTAGCATTTATTTTATTGTTCTAAATGTCCAAATAAATTCAATAGTTGTAAATGGGCTCTTCTTGTGGAAGTGTAACTCTCAGACTCTGCTTGTGTTTAGGATGGAGACTTCATGTTGATCACACTAATGGTCACTCATTAGCTGTATCCATGATTTCCAAAGCAAACTTGAACTCTTATAGGTCTGATGGTGAGAGAGGTAGAAGTACATGAAAAGCTGTGAAATCTCTGGTTTATTA